TAACCAAATTTCTTTTTATTTTTATTTTATTAAGTTTTGTATTATAAATCATGTAGTGTACTATTTTTCTTACAGTTGTCAATAATACATTTTAAATTAGATGATATTATAAAATATTTTGGATTTGTTAATATTTATATAATAAAATAATTATAAAATTTTGTTGGTATATAGTATTATAGTTAGTTAGGTTGTAATAATTTGGGTTTTTTTAGCGGATTAGGGTTTTCCGCCAATTCGAGATTTTAGTGGCCAATTTTTCATCGATTTAGTCAACTCTTTATTGTAGTCCATATATGATTCTATACTTAATCCATGATAATTCTATGATTTCTTTTGTGTGATGTAAATTTAATAATCAACATAAGTTCATATAGGGAAAGAACATCTCAATATTCATAAATTGATGAAAACAATGAAAGTTAATAATGTAGTAGCCCCATATCTTATTGGATTCCTACAAGACAACATTTATAATGAATTTTAATAATTTTTTTGGATTTTTTTAAGGCTTAATCCGAGCGATTCGGCTCGATTCTAGATCCGGATGGCTGATTCGCCGATCCGGATCGGTTTTTGGGATGCCCAATCCCGGTCATCGATCCATTTTTTAAACCACTGAGTAAAACCAATATAGGCCTTCTAATTATCCAGCCATCATAAAAACACAAAATATGCAATTGACAAGTGCTAAAATGTAGAATTGACAGTATGTTAAGCTTGGGAGATAACCACATGACACTAACTCCAACATTAACATGTAAAACTCCAACCTACACTGTATTTGACCTACTACAGATAGTCAAGATGATCATCTCCAAGATCCATGGAAGGCTACTGAATACTGCAGATAAAGCTCCTAAAAATTTTAGCACTGAATCAGGTCTCGTAGGATCATTCCCTTCAAAGAAATTTCATAATAGAGAAACCTACGACGAGATGTCCTCCAAGCACCCTTTCAGGTTCAAGGTGACTCGTTAAATGATATTGAGTGTGAGAGCCATGCAGCAACTTTCTTAAAGTACTGTGGATATACTAGAGGTCATGATGGTTAATGAAGTATTTCATTCCTTTGCATCTTAAGGAAGTTAAAGCAGACATTGACAATTAGTTCAAGAAGAGGTGGAGTTCACCATTGAAACTCAAAAACAATCCCTTAAAATGCTAGTCTAATATTATATGACACTCATCAAATAAACAATATCTTTGGTGAATTTGTTCACAATATTTCTCCTTTTTATTCCGAATATATTGAATTCAGACAGGAAAACTCATTTGAAACATAGTGCCATAAACATAGTGATGAAGTTAAGAATTGATGGTCATAGGTACTTACAGCAGAAGATTCATTATGCCTCCCGTCACGCCACTGTTCACGCTCCTGATTACGCTTCTCCCTAAGCTCTTGCTCAAGCTTCAATTCCTCCATGAAATGATCTATGTTCCTCGACTTGCCTTTCTCTTTCTCTTTAGGTTTCTCGTCCTCTTTCTACAGAGCAAAAACTTTTATAGTTAGATATACTACAAACATCCAAACAAAAAGGTCCCCAAAGTGACTTATCATCACAACAAGGCCAGAACACCCCAATCTAGATAGTTCAAGCAGCAGATAGAAAGAACAATTCATCATCATCATCCGAGCCTTGTCCCAATTATTTGGGGTCGGCAGTTAGAAAGAACAATTAATGAAGCCAAAATAAAAAAGCCAGATTTACACTGCCACAAAAACTAGAAATCCTAATAATTGTGGTCAAGCAAGATAACAATACAAGTGCGAGAGAAATACCTAATTATGGCACAAAGATAGAATAAACTGCATTAAATGATGGCAATTGCTTAGTGTTTAGCAAATGGTGGGCTCAGCTAACTCATGCAATTATTTCCATTGATTGTATTATAAGAAAATTGACAATACCAGCCATAAATGTGTATCCACTTTTCCTGTAAAGACTAAAAGATATAACGTCGAACAAAACATGAAGCACACAAACTAGCAATATCCTCCAAGTGTTCCCAAATAAATATCAAGGTTCAAAGGTGCCATACATGACATCATGAGTTTACACTCCCTTAGAAGATATTAGAAATCTTTCATATCATTCACATAATAAGGATGATAAAAGCAAGAGCAAATTAATTATTGGGGACTTCGACTGAATAAAGCTGCAAAAGGTCATATCACCCACGGAAAATTCCTAAGAGCATTCACATTTGCCACACCAACATTGCTCAAACCACATCAGAGGGATGGCAAAACCGCCAGAGCGGTATTTAAGAAAATATTCAAGATTATAGAACATTTTTGAGATTTAGCAGAGGGAAGTTCGTAAAATATCAAATAACAACACATTACATCACTTCTCCCATCTACTGAATTCCTTCTTTAATTTTCTTTCATGTCTCTTGTTCTTTTAACTTTTTGATGCTTAATTTTTTGATTGTACAGTCAAAAGAGCACCCAGTCAATGGGTTGTCTATACCCACATCTCATGGGTGTTTGTAAAAGTAATTACAATGCCACCAATTCTCAGCAAAAAAAATGCACTACATGTAAAAATGAAGAGGCCGTATGTGATGCTATGTAATGGTAGCCAACATCATGCTGGAGAAACAATTTCACAAATCACACATTAGAAAATCAGCAAAGCTTAATACAAATGATGTTGGACATGCTGACCTTCTCTGACTCTTTCGCTTTATTGATGGCCGCTGCCAAACCAGGTGGCACAAAGGAGGGAACATATCTGCAGATATCAAGAGACAAAAAAAAAAAGAGTTAAGAATTCAAACTCCATTATTTAGGTGCATCTGATAAAAATATTGGAAAATGTTCCATTTCTGAATAATTTGGATCATGAGATACATCATCACAAAGAAAAGGAAAACTAATGCTTTCCAACACTTTTCATACATGCACAAACATGATGCAATTGGAAGTTCAAATTTATCTAGTGTTGCTATACAAAACTATCTAGGGAGTGTGAGCCCAATTTCTCAGGAACTTATTCAGGTAAACTGGAGGTTCAAATTCAGGTTCTCTAGTTCATCATTGTTCAATATGTGAAGCCTAGGGGTAGCTCCAATGTTTATGACAGCAACATCAAAATGTAGACCAGCATTGTAATTGTCCATTCCAATGAATGGCACAAACTCTCATATATAAGGGAATGCTCTGGAATTCTCTTTGATGTTGACACTGAAGTTCCATTAGGTGGAATAGTGACCATACGAGACTGAGGAGCAATCGTGCAACTGCACCAAGGATCAAGAAGATGGTTCAATCAAACTATTCAGCTTAACCAGGCCATCACATTCAACCCGTTTGAGTTGTTCTGATTTGTGACCAATTCTCTCCTGAATAGTTGGACAAAACAAAAGTGATAAACGCCGGAACCAATTTAGAATGCAAAACTGGTCAGATTGGCTCTAAACACCGGCATGATGAGAATAAACAGAGAAAATGAGTCACAGCCAAAAGGCCACATCTCATTTTCTAAATTCCTACTTCTCTGCATGTCTCATTCCCAATATCCTAGTTGCAATTTGAAGAAGGAAAAGAAGTTGACATTGTAATTGGCTGTGACCATAATATTAGTACATTCTTTAAAAAAAATAAAAATGATAGAACCTAATTTTGAACCTAATCATGAATTTTACTCCTTGATGAGATAATAGGCCTCCAAGAGAAAATATAGCAAATGAGTTTATTCTATTTAACTAATTAAATAAAAAATGCATAAGAAGACAAGAAACAACATAGCACAAACACTTCAAGATTACAGCATAGTCAAGATGGCAAGAGAGAGCATCTCAAGCCCAACGGACTGAGACTAGCATGCAGCAGTTAGTGGGCAATGGTGACAGAGGAGGTACAGTAGGAATGAACCTTGCAGAAGAGTCAGCCACAGACCACTCGGTGGCAACCTAAAGGAAATGGACATGGTCATGACCCACTCGCACCTCAGCTTCAAGATGACGGACTTTGAGCCCAGCCATCCGCCCTATTCAGTGATAAAAGTATATACCATGATTCATGATAGCAACGAACAGTCCTTGCCATTATAATGGGCATAAGGACCATTATTTTCAACTTCAATCCCTTTCTAAGGGGATATTTGCCAGAAGTGGCAATAGCAGATACCGTTGTAATAGTTGTTAAACCATGATAATCATGTTACTCAAAACCTAGGCATCTAACTCTATTCAACTCGTTGCAGAAAGGAGATTAAGCCATCGATCAGATAATTGATCTACAATGAGATCATAATGGGCAACACTACCTTGCCTGACTGGTGAAAGATTTAGGTAATGTGCCAACCAATGGTAGCCCCTACTAGTACAATGATAGTGTCAACTCTAGAGGTCTGAAGCAAAACAAGTCATTCAAATATGCAAGGGCAGATAAGCGGCTCAACAGTGCCAACAACATTCGCCTAGTGGGAACCTAGATATTTAGACACCATCCCCTTTCCTGTAACAAGGCGTAGGGCTGAGAATTTACCCGATACGGATCTGAAACCTGAAATTCAGATCCTAACCAGATCCGTGTATGGATCCAAAATTTGGATCCGGATCCAAAATTTAGATCCGAATAGTAATTCGGGTTGGATCTGAGTATAAGTGCTCTGATACGATCCGACCTGGTTTTTTAAAATAATATATGCTATTATACCTATATATCCATATATATGTTATACTTTATATTATTTATTTATTTATAATAATATATAATTATTTTAATTTTTATAATTACATTTTAACTTTGTAATATACAAAATTGGAACTAATCGGGATCCAGATTCATATCCGGATCTTATATATGGCTTCAGATCCAAATCCTAACATTTATGATTCAAGTATTCTGGATCTGGATCCGGATTCCATGTATACTTTTCGGATCTGGATCCGATCCGAAAATTCTCAGCGCTACCAAGGTGCAATGGTATCTAACCCTATGCTATCTACATACTATGGGATACGGCTGTTCAGAAATTCCTTCATATCAAGGGTAACCTTAATAAGAAGATCATAATCTTTTCAACCATTTTCTTTTGCTTTGCATACTTCAATTTCTTGAAGATCCATAGTTTATAACTCCCAGTTTTAAGTTAATTGTTATAATAAGATCTTAATATTTTCGACTAACATAATATCTCTAGATATTTTTTAAGTCAGCTATTTTATTAGAAAGGTTATACGTATTTTAGTTTTCAAATCTCTCTACTATACCAATCTGTTCACTAAATCTCCAAATCCATTAATTTTGCACCGTGGTGTAAAAGCATGGGCCTGTCATTGTTGAAAACAAAATCAATACTTACCATAGTATTTAAATTTTCTTCTATTTTTTTCTTAATTTAATAAGTTTTCCCTCTTTAAGTTTTTTAAATTCCTATTTCAGAAAAACATGTGTGCAAACCCCAATTAGTATGAAAGTATACTGGAAACAGATCTCCTCAAGGATTAATCTAAAGATATGAGACCAGGGTCTAAACTCTTGCCCTCGAGATGAAATATATCAGGCAATTGTCAATAATGGGCCATGGCTGCTACCACAAATTATTCAACTATCAAGCAAATCATGCCCCACAAATCCAATATACCCAGTGACATATCCATAACAGGACATGAGTCAGATTTAGAGATATCAGTTCTTTCTAAACCTTGCTTCAGAAAATCATAAAAGGTGATAGGGGTGAATACGAAAAGGCTTTCCTTTTGGAACTCACACCCATGAGACCAGCTTCCCACATGACAAAAGTGATCCACCAAACCCATTGTTACTTTGGGGCTTTTGCTCTAGTCATCAGTAATTTTTTACACCCATCTCCAGGACACCTAGAAGTAAACTAAGTGGTTTGGGTTGGGTTTTTTTTACTAAATTATGGTAATTTATTGATCTCTTAATCACAATTAGAAAGTATCAACACTTTTAAATTGGACATGAGAAGCTTTGCACAAAAATGTTCAACTCATACACACAAGCCCCTATTGGTGATGTGGTGCCAACCTTAGCTTCTGGCAACTCTTCCCTAGCTGACATTCCAGTCCATGATCATTCAATTTGTAATCTGCATGGCTGTGATATTCATGAGGCAATGACAAAATGTTCTTCTGAAGAAATGAAGTAATTATTTAAGTTTCACATGTTTTGTTAGTCTTGTCTTGAAAATTCAAGGTTACGTTGATCCCCCTTTCTTGCTATGGAACTTGAACAACATTAATGGCAAAAAGCTACCTTCTTTAATCTTATCGTCTGCACTATCATATTTAACCACCAAGAAAACAAATGGCAGATTTTAAGATAACCCCTCGACAAATCCTTAAGTTCACTTCAGCTAAGTATACAAAATTGTCAAATCAGTGGATTTCAAGCAACTCTAAAGTGGTAACCCCGAATCGTGGATGTACAATCTGTGACAGATCCCTTGTTTGTCTTTTCCCCCTTAGGGCTGAAAATGTTAAAAAGAAAGGGAGTATAAAGGAGGAACTGAAAAGGAAAAGAGAAAAATCCTCATCAAGATGATGAAGACCACTTAGTGAGACATTCTAGACAACTAGAACGATGAATAAAAAGCCAACTACTTTCTTAGCCAATCTATCAGCCTCCTCATTTGCCCATAGAGGATGGGGTAAAAAGTGACCTTGTGGCCATGGCCCTGCTCAGGAACCTCTTGCAAGTATGAGGGCACCATCAAGGAACTTCTCCTTAATCCCCATCAAATCACATTGAGGCAATCTCCCTCCACTATCACAAGGAATCACAAATTCCCCATCACAACCCTTTTTTTCTTTTGACCTCCCATTACAATTTCAACACCTTTCAATGGTGATCTTGCCTCTGCCAGAGGCATAACACACACTATAGTTGTTGGAAACGCCTATGATTCTGATTCGTTTCAAGAATCGGAATCGCAGAATCACATTTGCCAAATGATTCCCAATCTTGGAATCGTCGTCCATACAATGAAAACCATCGGTGGCGTGATTCTCAATAATCAAAATCATGATCCAATAAAATAGGAACTGTGATTTTTATTCGTAGGAATCAGTATCCCATCATGATGGAATCGAGTCTCCGACCTTTCAGGAATTTCACATGACCCCACACAGTTCAATGACTTCCAGAATCGCAATTCGACAAAACAGGAATCATGATTCATACATTACTGGAATCATTGTCCCCATCGATTTGGAATCGAGATTTCCACAATTCAGGAATCGTGCACCTGTCCCCTCCAATATAAGAGTAAAACCAAGAAGATATCATAGATGATACCATAGCTTGGTAAGCTTGAAAGACTAAGATGTTGCATTTTCCACCCTATCTTGGAAGAGAATGTATCCAGTTTTTCTTTTCCGCATAGGAAAATTAGTTCCTTTGAGTTTTCATGTTTTGATAGTTCTGCCATGACTTAGCCTAGATGCCCATTGGTCAAGCTAGAAGACGATTTACAAATGGTCAGAAGATGATAAAGTAGCTAGGACCATTATGTCGAGTTTTATGGAGGATGACTTAATTAGGGTTTTTGCGAACCACACCACAGCTCGAAGTATGATGGGTGCCCTACTTGAAAAGTATGGGATCACTTATGAGACCCATGTGCAATTATTATTAAAAAATATAACTCTTGCAAAATGAAGGAATCAGACTCAATTACCGAGCATGTCAACAAAATGACAGTGCTCACAAAAGACCTTGCTGCTGCCAGGAATCCAGTCCCTGACCACAAGTAATTGTCCA